CTCTGACATAGTGGCTGTGCGAACCTATGCAAGTGACTTAACTTCTAATTTTTCTGGGATAGAAGACTCAAACACTAGCACCAACAGTTCTGAGAGAGTTAAACCAGATTAAAATTGGGAATGTGGAGAACGGTGAAATGTTTAAAAATAAACAAAAATATGATAAAATGCAGATAACATTATTTTTTAAAGCTAAGTCAATATGCAGTAGGCAGGGATCCTTGACAAATTAGTGCTTCATTGTTCTTCTCTCTCTCAATTTGGAGATCTCATCTATTTTCACGCCATAGAAAAACTCAGTTTCTATATCAATAATGCCCAAATCTTCATGCCTGACCTCTTTGCTAAGTTGTAGTCACATATGTCCTACATCTGCTTCTTGACATCTCCACTCCTGGGGAAGGATATTACATATCTCTATCTATCTATCTATCTATCTATCTATCTATCTATCTATCTATCTATCTATCTATCTATCTATCAGTCTATCTGTATCCATCATATCTTTTCTATCTATCTATCTATATCCATCTCAAGAAGTGAAATGACTTACCCATGGTCACACAAATACCAAGTAGCTGAGTTGCTGTGATAATGGGAGATAATAATTATGGAAACACTTTGTAAATACTTGGTTTTACTTCATGAATTTTAAAAAAAGTTATATTGATATGTTTCGGTTTTGTATTACATACATTTACAGATTATTCCTACTTCTTGAGTTGTGTTTTATGATACAGTAAAACAGTCAGGTAAAATAATACAATGACCTCATGTAAAAGAACATTTCACACATGTAGCACCCCTCATCTCTCTAGTTTAGAAAGTGAACAGAAACCTATTTTGACTCTCTTACCCCATTGGGGAAAAAAGAAAAAGAAAAACTCCTGTAATAAATATGCATAGTCAAGGAAAACAAATCCCTTCAATGATTGTTTGCCAAAAATAAAAAATAAAAAAAGTCTTATTCTGTATCCTAAATCCATCGTATCTCTGTAATGGATAGTATGTTTCATCATTGGTCTTATATTGGTCTCATAAATGGTCATTATATTGAGCATAGTTTTTAGAGTTTTCAAAATTGTTTGTTTTTACAGTATTGCTATTATATAATTTTTTTCCTCTGGGTGCTGCTAATTTCTTCATCAGTTTATAAAAGTCTTCAAAATTATTCATTTTTTGAATATTGATGCTATGATATAAAATGTTCTTTGAGTTCTGCTTACTTCAGTCTGCATTACTTCATATAAGTCTTTTGTCTTTTGAAATTATTTATTTCCTCATTTCTTAATAGCATAATAGTATTCCATCACATTCATATACCATGACTTTTTTTAGCCATTCTTCAAATGTTGGACATTCTCCTAGCTTTTTGCCACCACAGAAAGAGCTTCTATAATTTTTCTTTTGTACACAAAGGATCTTTTTCTATTTCTTTGATCTCTTTGGATGTAGACCTAGCAGTACTTCTTGGATTTGCAATTTGGTCAATCTAGGTATCTCTTTCAATGGTTTTGTAAACCATTCACAACTTCTCATCCTATGAAGTTCTTTTCTATGGCCACCTGAGGATTCTCACAACTTGAAGAAGACATTCTTCTAGGCCTCTTAACATTCCATGTTAAGTACTTAGAATGAGCATCCAGCGTGCACTACTCACTCTACATGACTTTCTCACCTCTTTTTCTGAATGTCTTTTTTTTTTTTTTTTTTGGCTAGGCAATGGGGTTAAGTGACTTGCTCAGGGTCACACAGCTAGTAAGTGTTATGTGTCTGAGGCCAGATTTGAACTCAGGTCCTCCTGAATCCAGGGCCGGTGCTCTATCCACTGTGCCACCTAGCTGCCCCCAAGACAATCTCTACTTTCTTTTTTATTTTTTTTCTTTTTGGTGAGGCAAAACAGGGTTAAGTGACTTGCCCAAGGTCACACAGCTAGTAAGTGTTAAATGTCTGAGGTCAGATTTGAACTCAGGTCCTCCTGACTCCACAGCCAGAGCTTTATTCACTGCACCATCTAGCTGCCCCCTGAATGTCTTTTATACATCTTTTCCTGGATATTTTGCCTTTAACACAATTCCAAACAATTCTCAGCCCCATTTTCCTTCAGGGTCCACCATGATGTGGGCAGAGTAGCAGAAAAGATAGAAGAGGGTACTAAGAATCATATGACTCTTAGATGGTGAATAAACATTTGTTTAATTACTGGTGCCTAAATATAGAACATGGAGAGTCCTGGTCTAACAACCCACATGTTGCCATGAGAATGTAAGAACTGAAACATTTTGGTGTTGCCGTTCTTGTTTCAAATGAAACCAGAAGGCATAAGACAATTGCCGCTAAGTATAAGCCATCTCTATTTTTATCATCATTATTAGCACTGTTGTTGTTAATTAAAATTAGAAGACGATAAGAGAATCAGACAATATGACGTAGTGACCAGAGAACTGGTTCCATGGCAGAAACCTGGGTTTCAGTGCTGCTTCTGACACATAGTGGTTGTGTGACTCCAGGCAAGCCAATTAACTTCTCAGTGCCCCTAGACAGCTCTAAGAGTATAAGTTACAAAGTAGGTGCCATATGCATTGGCCGAATGAGTCTCCTCATCAGAAATTCTATAAAGCAATGAAATTACATGCTGAGTTTAAAAAAATGGAGGGTCACTTCCTATCAGAGATATTAAGGTAGTGCCTATTTGCTTCAATTACAGCTGAGAAGGGTGACATGGTGGATTCCAACATCCACACAGAAAGAGCAAGGCCAGACGTCTCCAGCTTCACAAAGCATGAAAGGGCTAAGGTTCCAGAGAGCTTTCAGTTCCATATGAAGAAGAATTGGCATCAGAAGAAGAATTGTGATCACAGTCTGTCCAGTGCAACTGTGGGATCTCCAACCTAGTGACCTTGAAGGATAAACAGCTCTGTACTAGATGACTGGGACATGATACCATTGAGAGGCCAGAGGCTTATGTCTTCAGGTTCCTTCTAGTTAGAGAATCCTGTGTGTCCATGAACGCCTCTTATTTAGATAGGTCAGCCTTTTGCCATGATCTGTTTGATGAAACTTAGATGTTCTCTGTGGGGTGAATTCCCTTCCTTCTTAGTAGCAGAGAGGAAAGATGAGCTTTGCCTCTCCCATTGTGTTTTCAAAGAAGGTGACCATTGTGGCACAGGCAGATCTGGAGCAGTTGAACCATGTGGAAAGTCCATTTCAGCCATTCGGGTCACTGTGGAATTTAGAGAGAAAAGCAGGAGTTTTGTCTACTCTCTGCCCCTCAACCCCACAGAATCCCTGTGATTTCACCAAAGCTCTGCAGCCTCTGAAAGGAGACTCGACCACATTAAAACACAGTTTTGGTGGAAACGAGTGCTAAGTGAAGTACTATCGCCTTGTAATTAAATAGAATATATCATCATCATAGAATTTCATCATCTCAATGTTGGAAGGGTCTCAGAAACCGCTGAGTCCAACTCATACCTAAATACAAACATCCTCAAAACCATGTTGGACCCAAGGTCAGCCAGTCTTTGCTTTAAGACCTTCAGAGAAGGAAAACTCGTTCCCTTCAAGGCAGCCCATTCCATTTTGGGATTGCTCTAATGGTTAGCAGGTTCTTCCTGGCATCAAGAAATTTCTCTGAAATTTCTCCCCATTTCTCCAAGTTCTCCCTTCTAGAATCAAACAGAACAAATTGAATCTCTCTTCCACCAGGTCTCCTCAAATACTTGAAGACCGCTCTCGCGTCTTCTCTTTGTCTTCTTCTCTTCAGGCTGTTGTTGTGGTTGTTTGTCCTTCATTCTCAAAGAAGACCATGACATCAGGGAGGTGATGCCATGACTTCTTCAGGTTCTTCATAGATAGGTAAAGCACTTATTAAGCTCTGACTGTGTACCCAGCACTGTGATAGGAGCAGAAATAGAGAGGCTGGAAGGGACTTGAGGTCATAGAAGCCATTTCCCTCAATTCACAGATGGAGAAACTGAATCCTTGAGGCATGAAATGACTTTTCAAGGTCACAGCAGTAGTAAGTAGCTAAGCTGAGGTTCACACCCAGATTTTGTAACTTCAAATCCAATGCTCTTCTTTCTGCTGAGTTATGGGTTCCTATATAACCATGGCAAGAACAGGTGAGAAGATGTCACTTTTCCAGAGGGAAGAAAAGGAAAACCCCATCAATCTTCTTCAGGGATTTCTTTGCTAACTCCAGTTAGTGGCATGTGATATAAATGAGGGGGCAGTGCTGGAGACTCCAAGCCATGCATTTCCTGGGGATTAGGCATGATAATATGTCCTGCAGAGAAAAATGATACTTTGCACTTGTATAATACCTCTCTTCCATCCAACAATAATAATAATACTTTGTACTTTCAGCCAAGCATTGGTAGAGGGAGTTCCCTATATCAATGAAATCACAGGTCTAGGCCGGATCCCCTATCCTATTGCAAAGTTCTTAACAAATGTTTAACTCAGGCGAGCCTCACAACACCCATGGAAAGGAAGGAAGAAAGCCCTTTTATCCTGATGATTCAGATGGGAAATCTAAGGTCACTGGGAGTCAGTCCACACCTTGAATGAGTGACACAGTTGGCAGGACTCCTGACGCCCAAAGCAGCTCTTTCTTTGGGACACTCTCTGGGACACGGCCCTCCCAAAAGCCAGGGAACAGGCTCAATGGCCTCTTACTCGCCTTTCTAGCCCCATAAATCATGGCTGCTTTCAAGAGCAGTTTGGGTTTGAGTTGTTTCCAGGAGTTTTCTGAGGGATGTGGTTTTGGTCAAGTGAAAAAAAAAGTTTCAGGGAAAGCCCACAGTTTTGATTTTTTTTTCTTTTTTCCCTTGTAGAGCTTGAAAGTATTACTCCAGAAGTTGGCTCTGGATCTCCAAGGCCCTTCTGTATTCCCTTACAGCTCCAAGAATCTATAACTCCCAGACTCCTAGAATATCAAATCTAAAAGGGATCACAGAGATCATTTAGTCCTGCTTCTTTATTTTACAGTTGAGGAAATTGAGTCCCAAAGAAGGCAAGCAGTTCATCCAATGTCCCCCAGCAAGTGAATTGTTAAACCAGCCTTCAGACCAGATCTCCTGACACCAAGTGCACAGTGTTCTTTCCACTGTCGTAGAATTCCACCTAGATCATAGAATCTGACTGCAGCAAACACACAATCAATCTTACCACGGAGAAAGTGTTGGCTATGGTGCCCGAGGACCTACTTCAAATACTGCCTCTTCTGTTTATGATCTGGGTGACACTGCGCAAGTAACTCTGGACTTCAGCTTTGTCATTTGTTAAATGGGAGTATGAGTACTGCCCAAGATGACCTGTTATCTTTACATGAGAGTTAAGTGGTAAGCTTGATCTGATGGGAACATGCAAGATGAATGGGGGTGGGAAGTTGAAAGTGGAGTTGAGGAGCTAGCATCTAAAATAAATAAGCTTTTAAATTGTTTGCAGAGATTTATGGAAGATCTAAATAAATGAGAATCTGACCAATTTGGAATGATCTTTATCATTATTTGACCTGGAGTAGGCTTCTGCAGGAGAAAATCTGCCTCAGAAGCTAGCATGCAACCCTCTAGTCTGGGGCTGCTCTGAGAGGAGAAAGGAGACTGGAGTGTTATCACTGCTAACTCCCATTATCCACAGGACATGTTCCATTCAAGGACAGAAGTGATCCTCTTTCGAAATACACTCTTTTCTCTTGGCTTCAGAGACGCCATACTCTACTGGTTTTCCTTCTATTCCTCTGATCACATTTCTGACTCCTTTGCTGAGTTCTCTTGCTAAACCCTAAAGTTCTTTTCCCCCAAAGTTCCATCCTCAACACTCTCATCTTGTCATTGTACACCCTCCCCCTTGGCAATTTCATTCCTTCCCATGGCCTTCAACTACAACTCCATGAAGATGACTCCCAGATTTTTATCTCTGTTCCTGAACTCTCTCACGACTCCAAGATATTGTTATCTAGATATTGAACAATCCCCTCAAACTCAACCTATTCAAAACTAAACTTCTCTTTCTCCCTAAAAGCTCTCTATTTTCTGTCTCTTTCAAGGGCAATGCCTTTCAGATTTCCACTTTGAAGTCTTGGTGTTGTCTTTGGTTTTTCCCTCTCCATAACCCTCCTCTTCCCAATATCCAATCAACTATTGGATCGGATTGGTCATGTTGTTTCTACAACTTCCTTTTCTCTTGAATCTGTCTCTTTGTTCACATTTGCTATCCTAGGCCAAGCCTACATTACCAATGGACTCCTAACTAGTTGTTTTCCACTTCTATTTTCCCCTAATATGTCCTTCATATAATCTTTCTTTTTTTAATTATTTATTTTTTAGTTTCCAGCATTCGCTTTTATAAGATTTTGATTTTCCCTCCCCAAGATGGCAGGCAATCTGATATAGGCTATACGCATACAATCGTGACATAATCTTTCTAATGCATCCAGCTACTCATGTCATCATCCAGTAACATCATTCTCTCTCAAGACCCTTCAATGGCTTCCTATTGCCTATGGAGTCAAGTGATGACTCCTTGGTCTGACAGTCAAGAGCCTCTCTAATCTGAGCTAGCCAAATATTTCCAGCCTTATCTCATTATTAGCTCTGTGTAACCCTCGCTGTGTGCAAATGGTATCATGTTCATCATATGTTCTGCCTCTGATTTTTGCTAAGTTACCTAGTTTCCCCTTCCCATTTCAATGTTCTCCTTTTGAAATCTAACCATTCTTTAAGATATAGTCTAAATACAATCACCTGCATGGAGCTTTCCCAGTTTCCTTAGTCAGTAATGATCCTTCTTCCCTGGGAATTCAGATAACAATTGGTTTTCTTCTCTTTTATCCACTTATCTTGCTTACTTCTGTCTTATACTTATTTTTTGCATATATCCAGCCCCCCTACCATTTTGTGAGTTCCATCAGGGCACCCAGTCTCTTATTTAAATTTTGCATTCCTCTTGGTTGAGGCAGCCTCATGTAATGGATAGAGAGGATCAGCCTTGAAACCACAACATAATTCCCCCAGTGCTTTACTTAGCACAGAGCTGTCTGTGCCCTGTGGGTCTGAATGGAAAGGCTCAGGAGCCCTCTTTTCAAGTCTTTCTCTTTGCTTCTCACTAGCTGGGTGACTCTGGGCAATGTCCCTTTGGGCTGGAGGTTCCTTCTCTGTAAATTGTTTTATCCTTGAGCTTTACTGACTTGAGCTCTGGGAGATGACAGACCTCCATCAGTAGTGTCTGGGCCAGACAAATGAGGGTTATTATATGAGAGTTTCATAGAAGGAACATAGAACTTCTTTGCTTACCGTATTTCTGAGTGACTCATCTTAGGCAGGTCAGTGATGAATTGAGTGATTCTAGAGGAGGGGAGGGTGATCAGGACAGTGGGGGAGACAGAGGTCATAACATATAGGATCAGTTGAAGGGGTATATTTAGCCTAGAGGAGAGAAGACTTGGGGGAAAAGCAAAGCACGGAGAGAGAGGATAAGGAAGCTGTCTTTGAGTATGTGAAGGGTGGTCAGGTAGAAAAGTTAGCTTGGTCTCACAGGGCAGAACCAGGGGTAAGGGTTAGAAGCTCATAAGACTATAGATTTAGAACTGGAAAGGACTATGGAGTTCATCTAGTCTAACAACATCATTTTTATTTTATTTTATGCAATTGGGGTTAAGTGACTTGCCTACGGTCACACAGCTAGTAAGTGTTTGAGTCCAGATGTGAATTCCGGTCCCCCTAACTTCAGGGCTGGTGCTCTATCCACTGTGCCATCTAACTGCCCCTAACTATCTAATTTTTACAGATGAGGAAACTGAAGCCCAGAGCAGTCAAAGAAACTGGCCCCAATCACCAAGGTCAAAAATGACAGAGATGGGATTTTTAACCCAAGTCAGCAGACTAATTACAGTCAGGTGGAGTTTATCAGGTATGTTGTCGTAAGGTATGGTTGGATTAATAATAACAATAGCTTTAAAGACGGCAAATGCTTTACAAATGTTATCTCATTTGATCCTCACAATAACCCTGGGAGTTAGGTGTTATTATCGTCTCCATTTTACAGATGGGAAAACTGAAGCAGACAGAGGTTAAGTGACATGCTCAGGGTCACACTGCTAGGAAGTATCTGAGATTGGATTTGAACTCAGATCTTCCTATGCTGAGGTCCCAAGCACTGTCTACTATGCCACCTAGCTGTCCCCTTCCAGCTCTCAGATGCTGTGAGTCAATGAGAGAATCAACTTCCTAACAAGTAGAAGTTTCCAAAAGTGGAATGGGCTATCTCTGGACAAAGTGGATTCCTCCCCTACAGGTATCTTCAAGCATAGACTTGATGGCCCCTTTTTAAAAACGTGAGAGAGAGGATTTATGTTCCAAAGTCCCTTACAACTGTGAGATTCCTGATGGGACAGTGGAAAGCATCCTGCAATTTGAGTCGTGTGACCTTGGTCAAGCACCTTCACTCTTCTGGGCCTCAGTTTCTTTATCTGTAAAACTAGAAGGTTGAACTGGATGACCTCTGAAATCCTTTCCATTTCTAGATCTACTATTTTAAGTGTGTGGCAGGGGAGAGTTTGCCTCTGAAGTTTTCCTGGATTACTCTCTGGTTGTCATTTTCCTTATAGAAAGGGGCAGTGTGGTGCAATGGATAATACTGGATTTGGAGTTAGGAACACTGGAGTTCAAATTCTGCCTCAGACACTTACTCAAAGTGTGACCTCAAACAAGTCACTAAACTTTCAGCCTCAGTTTCCCCATCTGTAAAATGAAGAGGTTGGAATCAATGACCTCAAAGGTCCCTTCTTCCACCAAATCTATGATACTACAGCTTATAGTTGGGGGATACTGTTTGAGTCATCTTCATTCAACAAGAGAAGCTCAGGTTCAAATACAATTCCATTTCCGGAAGAATGGCAAGTTATGCTTTAGATAAGGCCTTTCTGTGTCTAGCTGCAGGATAGCAGAGAGCAAGACAGTCCTTGTTCCCAGACAGGTCACAGACCGCTGCTCCAGGGTGTGGATTAATGGGCTGGGGCAGGAATAGACTTCTTGGTTGGATGCCTCAGAGTCACATACAGTCTGTCTGGTGGGATTTTATGACTACCTAGGAGGCAGTGTGTCCTGGAAAGAAGCTTCCCTTGTAAGGGAGGAAATAAGTCTGGAAAAACCAACCTATATGTGGGATGATTTTGGCTGCTACTTCAAAAAGACAGCAATGCTGAAATAGACAAGTCAAGGGGAAAAAAAAAAGAAAGAAAACAACTTTCATTCTGCACAAAGACCCTTGGTCATTGGAGATGAATTGAGTCAGGTCTATCCTGGGCCAACAGCTTACTTCTTGGGACATTCTGAAGTCACTTGTTTGGTTCTGCTGCCTGTAGGGTAATAGAGAGTATTCATTAACAAATATGAAATTCACCACCAGATTATTTTTGTCTCTGCTGCCAAAGGGTGTTTCTTGTTAATGTTTGGGAGATGTGCTCAAATAATCCCACACGAAAAATTGGAGACCAGTCTGAGTTGGGTGGGGAGGGTGGGGAGAATTGGACGTGGATGGAGAGTGGGGGTGATGGTGGTTGAGTAATAGGTATGCTTATGATTCTAGCCCAAGCAGACCCCGCATTGTAAGGTGGCTGACAAAAGGGACCCTTATCCCTTGTAGATTTGTGTATCTTGTAGCAATTATACTAAGAAGCTCGGACTTCTTGGTTAAGTCCTTACCTATCTGACTTTGGGTTATTCCAAGCACAGAATTTTTCTCCTTTTCCTTTTTTTTTTACACTCTTTTTTTTTCTTTTTTTGTTATTCTGAACTTGATGCAAACATTTCCATTTACAAAGATGAAGAGAAAAAGAAGATTATATATGAAACCAAAATTCTCTATTTCATACAGCTTGCTTTTTAAAAAAAAGTATACAACATATTGGTTAGGTGTATCTTCATCTTTAGGGCCTTCCTCAGGACAGATAATTGCCTGTCCACTGAAGGGCTTAGAAATTTATTTAAATGTCCTAGTTGAAAGGTACAAGTTACAATTTTAAACTGGAAAGTTTGTTTTATGTAGGGGGTACTTATCCCAACTTATACTGGCAGGTTGGATACATAGAGTGAAGTTACATCTTCCTTCAGGCCTCTAGAGGTAACTCTTAAGTGGTTGGGAGAGTATTTCTCTCTAATATTATTATTCTGAGCCCCCATCCGTGGTATTCCCCAATATTAATTGCCAGGGATTATTGTCCCAATATAATTTGCCAGTGGCAATTAGTATTTTCCAGTATTATTTAATTAGTTGAATCAGTCATTAGAAAATAGTTAACAATAATTAGATTTTACAAAAGGATATTTATTGAGAAAGTATGGCAAAAATGGAAAATTATCTCATCCCCTTGAACAAGGCTCTGAATTGGGGGAGAGAGGTTGGATATGTATGTTTGGGGGTGGGGTGAAGGTGTCAGTTGAGTAATAGGAACTCCAGCCCAAGCAGACCTGTCTGCCATCTTGGTCCCTGGGGAAAGTGGATTTAAATGAGGCAATGGGGTTAATGACTTGCCCAGGGTCACACAGCTAGTTAAGTGTCAAGTGTCTGAAGCTGGATTTGAACTCAGATCCTCCTGACTCCAGGATCGGTGCTCTATCCACTGTACCACCTAGCTGCCCCAGCTGCCCTAGTAGGTATAAACTTAAAGCAGCTGCTATGAACATTCTTCCTATCTCCTACTTCTGAAAGGGGCATAGATCAAGGAAGGATAAGTAAAATAGGGAGAGAAGAAACAGCAGGGCCTTGTATTCCTGGGCCATCTGATGGTCCTGGGGGGTGAGATAACCTCTCCTCCAGCCTGTAGGCTTACAGCCTCCTTCTTCCTCGTCACATGAAAGCTGCCGGGGGGGGGGGGGGGGGGCGCGTAGTTCCACAGTTGACCCTTTCGTGAGCTCACTTGGCTCTGGTGCAGCAGACAATTAAAAGGCTTTCCTCATAGCATAAAAAGCAGATAGGATGGAGTCACAGCATAACTAGGCGTGCTCTGAACTGGAGGCAGAAACTCTGCATTATGCATCATTGAATACTTATGAAAGCAGGCTCTCCAAGCGAACATTTGGGTTGTTTTGTCCTCCGTTTTCAAAGAGGACCATGACATTTGGGGCAGGCACAAGGCAGAGTACATCACACAGATTCAAAGGACTCTATTGGCCAGTCTCCTATTATGTTTAGTTTCACAGATTAATATGAGGCAGCCAAGTGGCAAAGTGGATAGAGCACCAGGCCTGGAGTCAGGAAGATGTGAATTCAAATCCAGCTTCAGACATTCACTAACTGTATGACTCTGAGCAAGTCACTTAATTTCTGTTTGTCTCAGTTTCCCTATCTGTAAAATAGAGATAATAATAGCATTTACCTCTCAGAGTTGTTGTGAGGATCAAATAAAATAATATTTGCAAAATGCTTAGCACAGTGCCAGGTACATAGTAGGCACTATATAAATGTTGGCTGTCATGATTATTACTTAAAAGAAGAACTTGTCTTTACCACTTAAGCTAATAGCTTTTTCTTCTGCAGATCGAACACCCACCTTATGCCTATTAGGCAGCTGAGTGGCCCAGGAGATGGAGGGTTGGATTTTCAGTCAGGAAGACACGAGTTCAAATCTCAGCTCAGATATTTACTAGTGGTATGACCTTAGACAAGTCATTTAACTTCTAGAATCTTCAATTTCCTTATCTATAAAAGGAAGATAAGAATACCACCTGACTTCACAGTTGTTGAAAATGAGATAACATATGCAAAATGCTTTGTAGACCTTAGAGTGCTAAGAATGCGGGTTAATATTACCACAGTCAATATTACTTACAGACTCCGCAATGTACACTTACTATCCTGTAGGAAACACCAAGGCATATGTTTGTCATAACTGTTGACTATTAAAAATAGGAGGTGCTTGTGTAAGATTGTAGTTCAGTCTCAGAAATCCATGAAATCTTTACAGTCAAAAATCCACTGTGTTATCAAGGATTTCAAAGTATCTTTGAAAAATGTCTTCAGGTTTTTTTTTAGAGTTCTTAATTAGAATTTTATTTTATTTTTTAGTGATTAGTGGTAAAAATGTTGTTAATATTTTTCTCATTTAATTTCCACTAATTTTAATTTTATTTCTTTTTAATTTAATTTAATTTCCCATGTTAACTTCCAAATGTACTCCCATCCCCAATTCAGAGAGTTTTCCCTTGTAACAAAATTAAAAAATAAATTCACAAAACCAAACAACATATCAACTGTCTTAGAGCACATACAATATTGCACCCTCATACTCTACCACAAAAAGGAGGAAAATTCACTCTCTCGTCTCCCTTCCAGGGTGAAGCTTGGTGAGTGTAGTTTTACCCAGTTAGTTTCATTTTATTGTTCCATTTGTCTGCATTGTTCTAGTCAATATGTATATTGTTTTCTGGTTCTGCTTGCTCTATTCTTTATCAGTGTCTTCCATGTTTCTCCTAATTTCTCATATTCTCTAATTTTTATGATGCAAGAATATTCCATTACATGAATTTACCACGATTTGCTTATCTACTTCTCAACCAATGGGCATCCACTTTGTTTCCAGTTCTTTGACAGTATAAAAAGTGCTTCTATGGATATTTTGATATATATAGGACTTTTCTTTCTGTCTCTGGCCTCCTTTGGGTATATCCCTAAGAAGGTATCTCTGGGTCCAAAGGCATGGACATTTTGTTCACACTTCCTATACCTCTTTCCCTCTTTTTAAAAATTAAATCCTATTTTTAATCTGAATTTAATGGTTACCTCAAAAAGAACATTTCCATATACAAAGTAGAATAAAAAAGAGGATTATGTGTGAAAATGTAAAATTCTGTTACATATACCTTGGCTTTTTGGGGGAGTAAATAATATGATAAATTTAACATGTTACTTTCTAATTTTAAAATAGGTACTGCCAAAGCTAGCACAACATATTATTTTCAAAACTATCCTGCTTGTCTGTTTAGCCTCTTAGTCTGATTAGGCATGCACTTGACTGTCTTAGTTATATCCTTCTACAAGAAATCCCTAAGTGCCCTGCTTGCTTCTGTTTATTGAGCTGGGGAAGTTTACTCTTAGGATCTGTTTCTTTTTGAATTTCTTTAGAAAATGCTTCAATGACCCATTTCCATAGTTAGTATTCCCATTTCCCCATAGCCCCTCCAAACAATTGTTGTTTTTCATTTGTTATCTTTGTAAATCTGATAGATATGAAATTGAATCTCAGAGCTGATTTAATTTTAATTTCTCTAATTATCAGCTATTTGGAATATTGTTTTATATGGCAGTTGGTCACCTGGATTTCTTCTTTTGAGAACTACCTATTTATATCTTTTAACCACTTATCTTCCAAGGAGTGAATTAGAAATTTTTTCTCTTGGGGCAAAAGCAGTTAAGTTGGGTGGGGGAGATAGGGTAACACAAAAGGAGTAAAGGACCTGAAATGTTGTCATGCCAGGAAAGGGAGTAGTCTGACCCTCACCCCCATAAGGGCTAGGGGAAGAGGTGGGCCCTGGAGGTGGAACCACAGTGTTAGGACCCCTAGGGAAGAAGTTTTGCCATGTTATTGCATGGGTTGGCTGAAGACCTTGAATGGAGGCATGGGATCACCAAAAGGAAGCAGTATGCTATTCCAGGGAAATATCTTTTCCCCCATGTTGTGCCTTGGGGCAGAATACCATTGTGAGATAACACATGGTAATAAAAGGGAGAAAATAGGCAGATTAGTCTGTACAGTATCTCTTGCTCAAAATCTTTGCTGAAAAGACCAAAGATAATTTAGTTGGATAGCATTTATCAATCCCTATTCACTGCTGAAATCACTCTGTGATCAAGAACATTGGCCCCAAAGTTTCTTTCCAATGACATATTTAAATATGGCATAGTTCTCATCAGTTGGGTAATGACTGACCAGATTGTGTCATATGAATGTAAGAAGTGATAAACATGAGAGATTCAGAGAAATATGGGAAAATGAGTATCTGCTGATATAGAGAGAAGAAATACGAAATCAATAAATACAATATTAATAATAATGTGGATAAAACAATGCCAAAAGACCACTGAACTCTGATGAAATGCTTGGCTCCAGAGGAAAGATGATGAAAGATGATAGCTTCCTATCAAAAGAGAAATGTAGGAACATGGATGATAAACAGTTGCATTTGCCATGGAATGAAAGACTGACATGGTTGCTATGTCACTCAATTTTACTTAATAATTTTTCTTTGTTACAAGGAAGAGTACTATTGGTGGGATACATCAGGAAAGTACTATACTGTAAAAAAAGAAAAGAAAAGAAACAAGACACCAATTACATTTTTAAAAAGGGGGGTGGCTTTTTAAAAACTGAAGGATACAGAAGGATTGACACGTAACTAATACCAGTCATGGGAGAATTTGCAGAGGTGGCCCCTTTTAAGCATAAGATATGCTATCTGAATTTACCAACCACAGGGTAAGGTCATAGATTGCATTTGGAAGGGATCTTAGATGTCATTTAATCCAACCTCTTAATTTTATGGATGAGGAAACTGAAGACCAGAAAGCCTGACTGCCACCCAAGTGGCAGAGTCAGGACTTCAACCCATCTTCTGATTCCAAATCCAGAGACTTTCCTACCATGTCTACACTTTCTTCTAGGTGGTTTTTTTATGAGTCATTACTTAGCAAAGTGGGGAAAAAGTAAGAGAAGAGAGGGCAGAAGGAAGAAAGGAGGAAACAAAGTATGGACTGGTCTCTGGGAGGGTTTTATTGACCATGAGCCTGATGTTTTCAGTTGGTCTGTTTTCCATTGCTCAGGCCAGTCCCAGATGACTCTTGCTTTGACATTTTTGTATCCTTATCACTTAGCATGCAAGATGTCCACTTTGTCGTCCTTCAAATCTCAGCTACGTTTCCACATTCTACAAGAAGCCCTGGTTCCTGTTAAGATCTGTGCCTTCCCATGCCCATCAATTGGGGAATGACTGAACAAGTTGTGGTATATGAATGTAATGGAATACTGTTGTGCTATAAGAAATGATGAACAGGCTGACTTCAGAAAAACCTGGAAAGACTTGTATGGTCTGATGCTAAGTGAAATGAGAAGAACCAAGAGAACGTTGTACACAATAACAGCCACATTGTGTGATGACTAATATTGATAAACTTAACCCTTTCCAGCAATACAAAGATCTAAGACATCTGCAAAGGCCTCGTGATGGAAAATGCTATCCGCATCCAAGGAAAGAACTACGGAGTTTGAATGCAGATCGAAGCATACTATTTGCTATTTTTTTTTCTTCTGTCGAGTTTTGTTTCCTCTTTCAGGTAGTTCCTCCTATTGGTTCTAATTCTTACTTACAACATCACTAATGTGAAAATATGTTTAATAGGAATGTATATGTATCGCCTATATCAGATTGTGCACTGTCTTGGGGAGGGTGGTGGTGAGGAAGAGGGAGAAAAATTTTAAACTCAAAAGCATATAGAAGTGATTGTTGATAAATCAAAGTAAATTAATTAAAAAAGAGATTTGTGCCTTCCTGCCGAGATTATCTTCAATTTATCCCATATACATCTGTAAAAATGAGCTGAGAAGGAAATGGCAAACTGCTCCAGTATCTTTGCCAAGAAAATCCCAAATGTGGTCACGGAAAGTCAGACACGACTAATTGATTAAACAACAACAACATTTTGTTTGTACAGATTTGTTTGTATGTTCTCTCCCCCATTTGACTGTGAGTTCTCCAAGAGCAGGGAGAGCAAGACTGTTTTTTCACCTCTTCTTTGTATCCTCAGTACTTAGCCTAGTGCCTGTACTAGCCTAGTACTTAGTAGGTGCTTAATAAATGCTTGTTGATTTGAGAAAATGATGTTGAATTAAATTTAATAATAATAATAAATTTAATAATATAAATCAATGGAGAAATATGATGTCACATGCAACTTTTCAGGAACACATCTGTTATATAAAGGGAGGTATACCAATATTGCATGTTGATGAGATGACTGCATTAGAAAGCTTGTTGAAGTCTAAGTATGGCCTGGCAGATAGGTAAATATAGGTCCTTTATTATAAACACCTAACTGTAGTGACTAAGCAAGGACCATTTATCCTTCATGTCTATGTCACTAGACCAACATGGATCCACCCTCTTATCCAATGGTCTCTTGAAATGTAGATTATTTTGAATTTACCCTACCGGACTTTGGGATACAGGATCTGAATGCTAATCCTCTCTCCTATATCTATCCAGTCTTGGTTACTACTCCTCATCTATTCCCCTTGACTCACACACCATGGACTGTCATTTGTCGACTAGGCAGTGAATCTGGCCTTACCTGAGACTGGACAGTGTATGATGAAGAAATCTGAGCAGAGTTTCGAGGCACTCAGTCTGCTGTCATTGTGACAGCTACGACTGAGAAAAGATCACTAGCTTGAACAGCTGGTGTAACCAGATCCAGGAGCCTTTTGGGTGGAGGAGGGAACAGGGTGATGTCTTTAACCAATCTGTGTACTCTCAGGAGCCAAACTCCACCGAGCGCCAAAGGCTTCTCCTTGGGGAGATACCATATCCCGAAGACATCATTGATGACCATCGCTTAATGATGGCGATCACAAAATCATAGATCTCAGAGCTGGATGAAGCCTCCGGAGGTCACTTCCAGCAAAGCTGGCTCCCGAGTGCTGCCTCTGTAGGTGAAGGCTTTGTGGGGTTGGAGCTCTTTATTTGCCAGAGAGGTGGATATAAAGGATCTCATGGTTTTATGGCTGCCAAGTATGCTGGCTGGGTTTTTTTCCCTCTGAATATCTTTAAAGATAATAAGTTCCTTGAACTATTTTTTACAATTTGAAAAAGCATAATGCTAAGTGACTTGTATAAGTTAAGTACCAAATCTCACAGCTCCAGTCTCTTGGTCCCAGGGATCCCTGGTCTGTTCCATCTCTAATACTCATCAAGGTGCCTCAATGGATAGAGCATTAGGCCTGGAGTCAGGAAGACTTGAGTTCAAATCTGACCTCAGACACTTACTAGTTGTGTGACCCTGGGCAAGTCATTTAGCCTCTATCTGCTTCAGTTTTCTCAACTGGAAAGTGAGAATCATATAATATGTAATATAATATAATATAATATAATAATAATAGCACCTATTTCTTAGGGTTGTTGTGAGCATGAAATGAGATAATCTTTCTAAAGCACTTAGGGATATACCTGGCACACAATAAGCACCAAGTAAATGCTTGTTTCCTTTCTGCCTTTCCAATCCTAAACCTGGTGAGCCCTTGATCCACTAAATAAAATAGACATGATCCCTGCCCTCCCTGAGCTCTAATGGGCTTCGGAGCTAAAACAGCCTGTAAGCTGTTGACTACGTGTATAGGTAACACAGGTTTTCTTTTTTTCTTTTTTTAGTAGTGGGCCAAGGAGGGAAAGTTGATTTTTAATTGAAAAAAAATTTTTAAAAAGGAAAAAAATATAAAATAATTTTCAATAATGAAGAACTTTATAGAAATATAAATACTATGGTACAGAGATGGAATCATAGATAGGATCCCAGAATCTCAAAGTTGAAAGAGATGTCAGAGTCCATTGAGGCCAACAAAAACTTGATCAAAGCCAGGTCTCCAGCAGTGGTCATCCAGCTTTTCCCTGAAGACCTCCCTGGACCGGTGACTCACCCTAAGGCAGTTCCTTCCACTTTTAAACAGCTCTAGGACTGGGAAGTTTTCTTCTACATTGAGCCTGAATCTGCAGCTCTGTGTTTCTATCCCTTGCTTGTCCTCTTCTCTGGCTTCAAGAAGAACAAGACAGCCCTTCAGATATTTGGAAAGTGTGACTTGGTTTCCCCCTCCAAGTTTTTTCTTCTGCAGGCTCAACATCCCCAGTTCCTTCTATTGGTCTTCAAATTATCGTGGTCAGAGGAGCAGAGGGTCAATGATTTAGAGCTGGAAGGAATGTTACAGACTGTCTAGTGCTGCCGTCTTGTTTTATAGATGGGGAAACTGAATCTTCAGAAGGTTCAGTGACTTTCCCAAGACCACCCAGGTAGTGTTAAGATTTGAACCCATGCCCTTTGACCCTAAATCCATGAAAAGCATACTGGATGCTTTACCATTTGCCAATGTTCTTTCTGAAATGAGGTGCCTAGAACAGAAGGCAATACTCTGGATGTGGTCTAGATAGAACACATCTGATAAGTTGACCCTACCCAGCCCAATTGTACAGTAGAGATAACACCTGAGTCATGAGAATGACAGGCTCACCATCCTCAGTCTCTTGCAAGAAGGACAAAAGAACAAAGGTTCCCAGATTCTGCAATACGATGGCAATCACATGAAGTTACTATGGGGCCCTTGATTACTTATGGAACGCTTTATCTGTCCTAGCCCATGTCTTCAAGGTCCTCTGTCTATTAGGGCTCCTTTTCAGGAGCTAATCATTACCATATCTCAAGGAATCTTCCTTGTGCTGGTTCTGCAAGTCTAGGCAGGTACGGCTGCTGCTGCACAGGAAGGCTGTGCTCACTCCGATGGCCCCGGCCAAGAGTCTCACCTCTTAGCTCACACCTGGAACCCAGTCAGCTTCCTCGAGTGATAGCTGAGCGAATCTGAGGGAAAAATCAGGCTCTCCTAAGGCAAAACTGGAATACAAGACTGATGACAGCCAGTCAAGTCAGTCAACAATACAATTAACATTCACTGTGAGCGCAACTGCCATACCAGACATGGTTTATAAAATAGGTGCCTGCTTTTGAGGGACTTAGAACTGGGGTCCAAGAAACAACTGAAGGAAACAGTGGTAGAGCTTTATAGTGATGAGCTCCCCTCTCAACAGAAGCAGTTGATAAAATGCTGAGTAGGGGGATGGGTCCAATTACGTGAGATGAACCCCAGATGTGTATGGCTAAAGGCGTATAGGACAGATGGCAGAAGCCAGGAAGACCAGGGTTTTAATTCTGCTTCTGATGCATTCTGACCCTGGCAAGTCAGCTTCTCCTTCCTCCAGCCAATCTATAAGTTGTAGAGTAGAAGCTGATCTGCATTTTCTTTCCCAGTGAAATTAGAGGTCTGGTTAAAAAAAAAAAGTGTATGGCACTGTGGTAGCTTCTGCATGGGGTTAATATAGAAAGAAAGTCGATTTGGAGCCGAAAGACTCAGGTGCAAATCCCTACCTATTGTTTGCTTGGCATTTACGTCCCTCCACAACTTGGGGCCCTCCATCTTCCCAGGTTTATGTTATTATCTTCTCTGATGATATTATTCTGCCTCTGTGCTTTGGCTCAGGCTGTTTTTGATACCTGGCATGCCCTCCCTCCCCAGCTTCTCCTATTTCCCATCTTGGAGGACTTCTCCCTCGCATCCCATATAGCACTTTGTTCTGTAACTCTTTATTGTATTCACATAATATTTTGTATTATAGTTACCTGTGTTGCTGACTTAGCTCTGCTCTAGATTTTAAATTGCATTGAGGACAGGGATTCTGCCTTATTTTGATTTATTATCTTCCTTATCATGTAGGGTACAAACAGTAGGCACTTATTAAATGCTTGTTGGTTTGAGAAATCATGTATTCAACAAATATTTAATGAGTGTCCATTATGTGGCTAACACTCTGTCAGGCTTTTTGGGGAGGGGAGTGAAGAGAGGGGCCCAACAGAAATTTGCATGTTGTCTTCTCCATTGGACTGTGACCTCCTTGAGAGCAGGGACAGGTCTTTCACCCTTCTTTCTGTCCCTAGGGCTTAGCACAGTACCTGGCACACAGTAGGCACTTAACAACGTTTATTGATGGACTGATCGTCCTTGTCTACAAAGTGCTCATGATCTAGCTGGGGAGATATGAATTCCGCATGAGAAGGTAAATGAGAATGTAAGATAGGACTATGAATATCATTAAGTGATATGTTGTTGTTCGGTCGTTTTTTCAGTTGTGTCCAACTCTTTGTGACTCCTGGTTTTCTTGGCAAAGATACCAGAGTGGTTTGCCATTTACC